AAAAATAAAAATATTTTAAAAAATATACTTATTTGTTTTTAAACATATCCTTATTAGTTATTTAATGTTAAATAACAACCGCTAACCATTGTATAACCAAATAGTTATATTTATCGAATCCACTATTTACCATCTGCTACTCACCATCCGCTATCCGCCATCCGCTAACCGCCACCCGCTACCGCTATCCACTACATGCTATTCGCTATCCACTGAATTTTAACCGCTGTACCAAACAAACTCTAAATAAAACAACGTATTTTAATGTTAGAACTTCATTTTTTTTAGAGTTAGGACTAATACACTTTTTTTTTTCATATTTTAAATACTAGTGAAAAATAAAAATAAATTAAAATATCTTTTTATTTCAATAGAGAATAAGAGAGCTATTTTGGAAAGGAATAATGGTAAAAGAAAGGAATTTTATCATTTATGGGACTAATGATATGATATGAGTTATATTATTCAAAATATTAAAAAGTAGATCATCTATTATTTCATAATTAGTTATTTTTATTTTATTAAAACATATAATATTGTATATACCTACTTAGTTAATAAGATTAGTTATACCAAATCTTTGGTCCAAATCATCACTACTCTTCTAAAAAATATTTTACTTAGATACTAGGAGCAATTTTTCTCTAATATCTCAATACTAGTTTCATTACTCTGTCTCTTTAATGATATTTAAGCAAAGCTAAAGTAATTATCCAGTTGAATGGGGAATTAAAACTGATTGAATTGCCTTATAAATGCAGATTATGTAAGATATTATTTGGAGTTTGGGACAGCTAATCAATTTATAGGTAGGGAGTTTGGGACAGCTAATCAATTTATCGGCAATTTTTATTGCAACACTTTTAATAGTTAATGACATACCTTTTTTATATTATTGGCTATTATATCTTTATATTACAAATTTTCTCAAAATTTATATTTTTTTGTTTGTTAGATAAATTAAAAGGTATAATGATTAATTAAAATTAAAAAAAAAAAAAAAAAGCCTTGAACCAGAAGAACTATTTGATCAAACTTACTATCAAAATCATTAAATAATGCTAAACTATTTCCTAAATCAGATAAATCACCCCAAATTTTCGTTCTTTCTTCAAGGCATAAAAAGAGAAGAATGAAGACAATTATCAAGAGAGAGATCTCCAACCTATCTGTACCATGACGTTTTGTCAAAGGATAGAGCAGGAGTTGAAAGTTGAAACATTCCAAGACGGGATGAATATAAATGAAATTTAAAAAAAGTACGCCTGGAATTACATACATCTTTGAACACGGTAAAGAAGAAGAATTAAAAATGCCGAGTCTTCGGATACCAGTAAACTTTGGAGACTGAAGAGGAATAGACTGAGTCGTTATTTTTTCCCACCTATATCATTCATTTTCATACGTCAACGCGCTAGAGAGGAAATTGCCAGGAAGGCGAAGACAAGCAAAATAATTGAGATGTTGACTGTTTGAACAAGAATTTTTGGAATAATGGCGAGAAAAACGACTAATAAATCATTTTAAAAGAAATAAAAATTTATTGTCAAGCCCCAATATGTCTCTTTGAAATTGGAGACTGGAGAACCAAGAACAAGGCTTAGAGATATTTCGGGCAATCCCTGCATTGTCTGTTATAAGAATTCATTTTCTAACAAAACAAAAAAAAAAGTTATTAATGAATCATCATATATCTTTTTTGAACAAATTACATAATGAGAGGAAGAGAATTCAAATTCAATTAAAGAGATGGTAGGTGCACATATTAAAGGAGATAAAACTACTAAGTCGAGAAGGTTAGATACCATGAATCATTATATTTTAGTTGAAAAAAAAAAGGGTAGGAGTTATTCCTACAATATTCATAATCATATGTAACAAGAATCAAAGTCGCCATCCTTGTCTTTAAGTAGAATCAATGTTGCCAAAACACCCTGTTTTGATGAAAGTCCAATGCCCACAAGCTCAGGAACAAAATTAGAGATAAATCTGAGGCTCCGTTAGCATGCATGGCTGATTCAATGCAAAATTCTATAGTACAATTTCATCAGATGTCTTTTAAAGATACCTTTGCACACACATAAGTACGAACTCGTTTATACAAGTAAACATACATGCCTTCTTTGACAGGTGGTGTCATCCTGCCTTCTTCACCAACATCTTTCAAACCAAAAAGAGTTTTCATGAGAGTTCAATAATTCTTGGATGTTTTTTAGCTGATTTACTTGATGAATCATCTTCGCTTGTCTCGAGCGTCATGGGAGAGTAAGCTTTGTTATCATCATTGCCATTATCTTCATTGTTCTCGTCATAATCAGAATCACCGCCACCATCATCTGATTCTGCTTCGCTACTACTTGCAGCCAAACGAATCACCGGCTGATTACCAGCAATTGCAGATTCAGCAGCAGCCACAGCCTCTGGGGTGTTAAGATCAGCTACACCCAGCAAGATCCTGTTATTCAGCATACACATTAAAAAATTATTATGCACTCACAGCTCATAAGCTCTCACAATCTGTGCAAGCAAGTTTGCAAACACGATAGCGGGACAGAGAGAAGCAATTACCATTTCAATGACATTGGATTCATTTCCAGTAAATACTTCAATATCATATGCCTGAGCATTATCCTACAGTTTTGTAGTGTAAAAGCTGGTTAGAAAATATGAGAACTTGGATCAATCCTCTATCTAGGATTATACATTCAAAAAACAAATCTTTGCATCATGCTCCAGCCTTTTATTGGCTTCTGAAATGACTCCCAAGAAATCTTTCACTTTACCCAAAACTGCATCACCAGCTAAGGATTCAGAACTAGCCACTAGTAAAAGCATTAGTTTTCAATTTCATGTTTTCCCAAAGTACATTTTTCATTAGTTCTTGAACAATCCAGCTCTTCTGGAGGCTGACAACTACATGATCTTATAAATTCTTCTGGGATACCAATCAATACAAAACAATAACATACATCTTCATATTAGTACAAATTAATACCCCTTCCGAGAAAAAGACACCCCTCAAATAATACAAAATCAGAGACTATTTCAATGAATTAACCTAGACATAATTCAAAGGTGTTAACTTTCCACTTCCTGTTGGCCTTAGTTTTCAATTTCATGTTTTCCCAAAGTACATTTTTCCTTAGTTCTTGAACAATTCAGCTCTTCTGGAGCCTAACAACTACATGACCTTATCAATTCTTCTAGGATACCAATCACCACAATATAATTACATGTATCTTCATATCAGTACAAATTAATACCTCCTCTGAAAAAAAAAAGGGGCACCCCTCAAATAATAAAAAATCAGAGACTGTTTCAATGAATTAACCATAGACATGATTCAAATGTGCTAACTTTCCACTTCCTGTTGGCCTTGCCACTACACCCATTTCCCAAAGGGGAAACTGAAACTAAGGTGAGAAAGGCAGTACCTTGGCTTTTAGGAATGGGAGCAGTAACGAGCTTTTTGTCAGGGTCAGGTTTATGGGTTTCAGAGAACGAGTCCTTCTTGTTACAAACAAGTAATGCAGATTCTGCGCACGGAAAACAAAAGGAAAAAAACAGTGTATGCAACACATTTTCAACACAAAGTAAGAAACATGAAAAAAGTATCAGAGGGAAGGAGTACCTATAGCTGAAGTAGAGGAGTTCTTGTACTCGAAGCGTAAAAGATCTTTACTTGTGTTACCCATCTCTCTCCCTCCGTCTCTCGCCGGTGGACCGTGGACGAAAACAAGCAGAGGACACAGAACAGGGTTGGAGGAGAAAACCAGAGAGATCGACGGATATCTTCGGTCTCTAGAGTGGCCCATTGATGGCAGTCCACAGGCCCAACAGACCCAATTGTTCTTATTTAGGTGCAATGGTAAAGTTTGATTCCCAAGCCCGAGTTCCACAATCACGTAGGTTTTGATTTGATTTCAACTAGCTCTTGTGTATAATTGTTAGGGTGCTGAAGCTTTCCTTTTTCCATCAATTGGTGAGCTTTTGGCTCTACAAAATCGTAGATTCCGAACCCCAATCTTGTATGGTCTCTAAAAGAAGCTATAAAGGGACCCTTGTCGTGCCTGCCACATGTTGCCCCATTTTTGCCATTTCATTGGGTAGCTTTGATGCTCATTGACTGCCACCTAAGATATGCCACTTCCTAGTCAGCATGGTTTTCTGTATACCCTAATTGGTATTGAATTCACATAAACCTAAAAGAGATGAAACTTTTCATTGAAATTGATTAAACTACAACAATGAAAATTTTGAATAATGAAAATTTTGAACAATAAAATATTCGAATCTAAAACTTTTTAAAATTTTAATTATTAAATTAAATTTACATAAATTTAATATAGATAATATTGAACTTACACAATTCGATGAGGGTTCCATAAAATGGAATAAGCATGGAAGTCTTTTGCCGGATCAAACCAGATAAATTCTATCTATCTTCCCTTATTTTCTAAGATTTAAGAATTGTTTATTGAAGAAAAAAAAATTCGAGTAGAAGTATATTCTCTGCTGGTTGCCTACGGGCCAATGGCCCATAACTGGTGGGAGATGGATCATTGAGGACTGTGATTCTCTGGAGAAGTCCACAAGGCCCATACAGAAGATATTTTGTAAAAAAAAAAAAAGAAAAAAGAAAAAAGAGAAAAAAGAAAAAAGGAAAAAAAGAAAGAAAGAAAGAGAGAAATAGACAGATCAAATATTTAAATCTCCAAGTAATTATCAATCCTTGCAAAGTCTTCCATTTTTTTTTTTTTCAAAAAGTTCGAATATTTTCTAAGTCAAACAAAAATGTTTGGTTTTCATCTGACTTAGCCTAAAAAATATGCATTGAATGATCTAAATTAGAGGCTCAAGAGGCTGACATTTCAGAATTCATTATTAAAAATTAAAAACTAAAAATGTCATTACCGGGCCGCTTTCATTACTAACTATGAGCTCATATATATATATAATAGGATCATGTGTTCATATTGTATATAGAGATTAGAGTTTTTAATCTTGGTAAATAAAAAGTTAAATTGCATCTCTAGCTATTTATTCATTTCCACTCAAAGGAATTTAATGTGAAATGTCACAAAAGTCCCAAGATGATACAATTTATCATATGTTTTGTCTCTGTTTCTCTCTCTCTCTATCTCTCTCTCTCTCTCTCTCTCTCTCTCTCTCTCTCTCTCTCTCTCTCACTCAGAAAATCTTGGGTTTTTGTGCTGTCTAACGCAAAAATAGTACTTTTTCATGTTAGGTTTTAAACAAGCAAAACTTATGTAGCAAACCAGTGAGGAATCCAAAAATTTTAGACTTTTTTTTAAGGATCTAAACCAATTGCTGCTTTAAGTGTCTGGAAGAATATCTAATCAAGAACTTGTTTGCGTAATTTGTGGCTAGGTTACATTTGCCACCTCTTGATTGAAGTGTCAATCTTGATTAAAC